GGAGGAGGGAGGGGGAGGGAGAAGAAAAAGAATGAAGGAAACCTTTTAGCAAAGGAGAAAAACAAATGCTGTTGCTTTAAATCACGACTGAGCATGCCTGGCTGTGGAATTCTGGGAGTTGAAGTCCGCAAGTCTAAAAAAATTTGAAACCCACCACTGTGTTAGTGCCTCACCAGCCATAAACCTCACTGCACGTCACTGGTTATGAGATAACTTCTCTTTCTTCAAAATCCTTGAATGTAATTAGTTCAAATCTCAAATTGTAATATTGGGGGAAAAGAGGATCAGAAATAAACAGAAGCAAAAAAGTGGGGGAGGCTCAGAAATAGAAACATCTGGTATCAAAAAGAAAGAAAATGCTGCATCCCACCCATAAGATTCCGACCACAGGCCACTTATGCTCCACTCAAGAGATTACTTCCAAGGGAATTAGTGCTTAACACAGGAAGAAATTGCCACTAGAATATCACTAATTGTCTGAGAATTTTCTTTCACACCCATCTTTCTAGAAAAATATATTGAATAAAAATATGTGATACACTATGTCACTGTGTTCCAGTTAATATTCTGATTCACCTCTTGGGGGTTAGGTTTCAGTGTCAGGTTCTCCAAAGGTCCCAGGTTTGCTAGTACAGGAGCCACCATCATATTAGTCTGGGGGAAAAAAGGCAAAATTAAACAGATATTAGTCGTTCACTATCACATGCTTTCTCAAAGAAAACCATAAAGCAAAGCATATCACAGATGGCATGTTAATCCCCTTTTCTGTTTCCTGGAAATTTTCCATTTCTCTCATTGCAGACAACAATTACAAAAAATAAGCTCTGTCCCCCCCCTCCCCTCCCCCGATTCTTGCACGAAACAGCATATCCATCATGATTCCACGACAGAAGCCTATTTCAAAGTTCATCTTATCCCTGAAGATAAAGGGCTACATTAAGAATTACCCTATCAGGAACAGGTCTCATGATTCCCCAGACACAGTCCTCCTCTAACCGTATGCCCAGCTCTTCATGGGTCTCCCGCAGTGCTGTGGAGATAGCATCTTCATCAGAGTCATCACGTTTACCACCTGGGAAACTGCAAAGACAAATACGTTATTGTGCAAGGGAAGTTTGGGACGGAAAAACTTAATTAAGATCACCTAGGATTGAGAGGGACTGGAAAAGTCAGAAAGTTTCCTGGACATCTTCTGGCTCAACCACTAATGTTGTGCCAAGTTCTTCAATGAAGGTACATCCTGTTGAATTGCCATCCTACTTTTCAAATACCCCCCCCCCCAGCCTATATTGCTATTAAACATTTGTGTGCCAATTTCTAATGTTTCTAAGCAATGCTTCCCTGTCACTTTCTTTAGAACAGTGTTTTTCAACCTTTTTTGTGCAAAGGCACACTTTTTTCATGAAAAAAATCACGAGGCACACCACCATTAGAAAATGTTAAAAAAATTTAACTCTGTGCCTATATTGACTATATATAAAGTAATTCTCCCATGGCACACCTTACACTATGTCACGGCACACTAGTGTGCCACGGCACAGTGGTTGAAAAACACTGATGTGCCTATATTGACTGTATATAAAGTAATTCTCCCACGGCACACCTTACACTATGTCACGGCACACTAGTGTGCCGCGGCACAGTGGTTGAAAAACACTGCTTTAGAACAACTCTAGAACAATTAGGTCTTGCCTTTTGCAAGACTCTCATATATCTGGAGACAACTATTGTTCCTCTTCTCTCTCTTTAATCTTCTCTATACTCAGCCTTTCAACTGTTCTTTAGAAAACTTATGAGGTCCACCAAAGACAACAAGAGGGGGTTAATGACTCCCATCTGCGTATTCTGTAATTTATCTTTGCATTTACCAAGGAGGAAGATTAAGTTGTCAAGTACCTGACTTCCCCTTTGTATAAACCGGTCAGAGTGCTGGAACGCAGAGTGTACAGGATCGCTGGGTCCCCAGCCACAGAGCACAGAGATACCAGCACAGCTGCCCCCATATTTTCTTTCTTGTACCGGCCGGTGGGTTTTTCTAGCAGCCCTCTGCACCGCTGCTCGTTTTCCCAGGATAAATATCTACGTACCAGACCCACGCTGGCTATGGGCATACGGAGTGTACGCTTGCAGAGGTAGTGCAGAGACTGAAGCATAGTGCCCTAAATATTGGGGGGGGGGGGGAGAGAGAGAGAGAGAGAGAGAAAGAAAGGGAAGAATTTCACCTGAATGGCACCCCACACCTTGAGACTCCATTTCATCTCCCTTGTCAAATCTGGACCAACTACTCTTGGTCTGCGACAGTTGCTTCTTGTCATGTCAGGAAACAAGCACAAAGACCCGGAAAACACGCAGGGAATTTGACAAGCCCAGAGCAGGCAGGAATTTAAAGTCCTCCATAATCAGAAAACGAGAACTATTATAGGGTGGTTAATCAAGGGTGCAGGTCTTGGGTGTTTTTGTTTTGCCTTATCAGCTTTACCCAGGGTTCTCCATGAGAGCTGGACATCACCTCCCATTATCCTTGGCCAGCCAGCCTGAGATGGGAGCCGTAGTCCATCCCATCGAGGAGATGCCGGGGCTTCTGAAACCGTCCCATTCAAAGTCTCCAGAAGAAAAGAGGGGGGCAGGGGAAAGGAGGTTCGTTCTTTCGAGAGCAACCACCAAGGAAAGGCACAAGACGGTCGTCGGTCCGCTCCCACAGTTACCCGCAATTACCCGGCGACGCAACCAGCTACTCAGAGCAACCAAAAACCCAGCCGAGAATCCCAATTTACAGTTCTTCCTATTAGCCCCGCCCTTCCCCTCAACAAACATGGCGGGACTGAAAAGCTTCCCAACTTCTGCTTTTCAACAAATGGGGGTTGGGGGTGAAGGGCGATGTCAGTTAGGGCATACTTCCGCCAGGCAGAAATATGGAAAGCGCCATTCTAACCTCATAGGAACGTTCCTCCGTCAAAAGAGGAAATTTTTCGCCGACAGCAGCTTAAAAGCGACAGCCGAGAACGCCGCCTCCACCAATGAGACGGGAGAGTGGCAAAAGCCACGCCCCAAACTGAGAGCCTGGGCGGTGCAGCGAGAGCTCCCTCGCCCCTTAAGAGACCTTGAGGGTGGCTGTTAGGATTTTATGGCCGGAAAGGTTAGAGGACTAAACGGCTCTTTAAGGGCATCTTTAAATCATATTTCAATGATTTACACAGGAAACCTTTTTGTGCTGACATACCCTGACAAGTTTGAACTCCACCCAATATACATGTATTCGTAGACTATGGGATGCAAAAAGATCTATTTAACTCAAGGTTGATGCTTGCTTTTATGAGATTTTAAGACAATCATCAAACAGTAATTCTAAAAATCCTTACTTTAGGGTAGGTATTAAACCACATGAAGCATCAATGACAAAATGTAAAATTTATTTGGGGTTTTCTGTCCTGGAATTAATCCCCAAAATGATGTGTTTGCCACCTTGAGTTATTTGTAAAAGTAATAAAGGCAGCATGCAAATAAATAAATGCACCCAGACTTGTCATAATCATTTATCTATAAGTACAAATAAACTGATAAATAGCCCACAGAATCTCTTGTAATAGTAACACCTATTATTCAGGAAGTTATTTTAAGCATGCCCGCTAGTCTTAATGTTAGACAAAAATTGTGGTCTATTTACTATGGAAAAATATGTAAAATAATTCAAATGCCACCATGGCTGAATATAACGATGTAAAGTAGATAAGAGGGCAGGTCCCAGTTTAACATTCCTAAGTGAGGTTGGAGCCCTGATATATAACACTATGTTTTACCCTCTAGGTTCTCCAAACATCCTGTGCTTTTCTCTTCTCACAGTGGATAAAATAGGATTTTGTATTACAATACGGCATTTAAGCAATTTAGAGGCCATTGAACAACTCTAGGTGGTAAATAGTTTAAAAACCAGTATAGAATACCAGAAATCATAAGCAGCCCAAACTACTCCATTTTGTCCCTTTTAATTTCTTCCAAAGAGGCAAGAGTACAATAATTACATAATGTACTAAGCCATGATTACACTTTTGGCTTTTGAGCATAGTATGTGAATCCTGAAACTACATTGCTCAAAAAGCTAGTTCAAGAAGTTACGGGTGAAAGGCATCTTTTATTACACTGCACTACTACTCTCTTACTAAGCCTCCAGTTTCTAAAGATGACTGATACTACTCATCCAACAGCATGAAGTTATTTATTCAGTCAAGTCCAACCCTTCGCGATTCTCTGGGTCAGGTTTCTTCACACCTTCTGATCTTGCACTACTTCATTGAGTTTTTCTATGCTACAGCTGGTGTCAGCTTTGATAGTATCCATCCACAGTGTTTTCACAGCTTGGGTTCTTTTTGCAGCTAATTCTTCCAAACATAATTGCTTTCTTCAGTAAATTCCCCCATGACATGGCCAACTGCACATCCAACTACATATGCAAGTCAAAAGTGAAATATATCTGCAGAGCCAGATGTGCTGCATTAAACCATTTCATCCTGATGTTTACTACTTTAAGATATTTAAAATATTTGCAAATTAATAGTACAATCAGCTTTCCATTTTATCTGCACATTTATAGGTCTTGCATAAGAAGAATTAGGAACAGGAAAGTAAAGGTTTAGATGAGTTCATCAAAGTTATATTTATGTACTATGGAATCCTGACTGGTCATTTTGGACAATTATTTTCTCATGAATTCATATAGTTTGTAAAGACTTCTTTGCTTCATTTCATAATCAATCACTCCAAGTAATATATAAAGGCAATTCAAGGCCTCAGACACAGGATGTTGCTGTGCTTGTTCTGTGAGATGTTCTAGAACTTCCTATGTGGTTTGACTCCTAAGTTACTTTCATGGGGCATATTGTATTCTATTTCTAATGCTATCCAGAGTCACGCTTATGAATCAGATGGCCATATAAATCCAATAATCAAATAAGATCACATCCAGGTATTCACCTCATTCTCCTTGCTGTAAGAAATTACACATATCAGTCTAAAGTATTTAATAAACTGCCCAAGAAGAAAGCAAAAAAGAAAAACTGGTAGTTGAGGCAGGTTGTCACAAATAATAGAAATTAAACTCTGTTACTGAAGCCCAAGCAAAGGTACATGTGGGCTAGAAAAGATTATTTGAACAGTGTAACTTCTTTGAGGTGGGCGTTATAACTGTTCATCCAGATGCCTGCTTTTTAGATTCATTATATTGCCTCATCCGTTCCTCCAGTTCTGGACGGAAGTGACGAATTAGACCCTGTAAAAAATCAAGCACAGGAGTTACCCATTAAATACATCTGTAGCATTCCCCGTACTCCAACCTGAGGCCTCCCTACAAAATCATTTCATTTCTAGCTCTCTGTCAAGCAAATTGCGTGATTCTTCAGTACATTCTGAAGTAAAAAGGAAATTACCTGCACAGGCCAAGCAGCCCCATCTCCCAGGGCACAGATAGTGTGACCTTCAATTTGTTTGCTAATTTCCCAGAGTGCATCAATTTCTGCCACTTGTGCATTGCCTCTCACAAATCGCCACATGACCTTGTTCATCCAGTCAACACCTGTAGGAAAGGAATCAACATTAAAAGTGGAATACAAAGCCTCATGAAAATCAGCAAGGCAACATAATACTTAATACAGAAGTGTACATTGATTTTGCTGCCCAGGTTACAGGTCTTTTTCCTGACCTTGGATTGTCAATTTCCCTCCTCAGGGATTTTCAGATATCTGTTTCCACTATATTTTAAATAATACTGGGATAAAAAAAAATAATGTGAATGTTTTTTCACACTATTTTTTCAATCCCAACCCTAATTCAAAGAATTGTGGGATAATTTTGCTAATACTTCAAAAGGTTTGGAGGCTTCCTGGGGGCGTGGCCTGTTGCCGAGGAGGGCTCCACCGAGCTCCTCAGAGATCTGGTCTGTATATCTAAATA